CCTTAAAAAACACCCAAAAAGATTGTTTGAAAAAGGGATCCCAGTCAGTTCAGTTGTTACAACTATTTTGTTACTCATTGTTACCATCTAATTTATTTAACCATTTATGAGCCAGTGTTTAATGGATTTTCGCCCCCCCCAAAAAAAAAACAACAAAAAAACCCAACAAAAAACAAAAAACAAAACAAAATCAACAACACAAAAACCACACAAAACAAAACAAAACAACAACAAAACAACAACAAAAAAACAAAACAAAAACAAAAACAAAACAAAAACAAAAACAAAACAAAAACAAAAACAAAGCAATACCCAAACAAAGTTTTTAAAAAACACACAAAAAACACCAAAAAAACTAGTTCGCGATCCCTATGACAGTAGAACGATGCTTATCAGTGACCACTGCATTCTGAGGGACACAATAATGACGCGGGCTGTAAAGGCACGTGACCTAAAGCCACCCCTCTTATCTGTTCGTTGCAATCTCCAGACACCTACAGGCCCTTCCGAGTCCTTCGATCAGCCGTTGTCCAGGAGTCTTGTTCACAGACAACCATTGCAGGTAAAACAAACGCACACACACATGTACAGACACACACGCGCACACACATATACATACATATGCACATGCACATGCACGTACACATATGCACACATACATACAAACACATACACACACGCACAGACAGACAGACAGACACACCCTCACACACACAAAAAAATGACATGCTTATTAACCTTACAGGAATTCGTCATTGTCATAATATGATAGGTTTCGACGCAAAATCGTAAGAATTACCGTATATTATTTCCATGACCGTAAAAGAAAATTTAATGATCTCTAACTTTACTTTAAAGCCATTACGGGCCTTTCCGCTAGTCATTTCTAGTTTATGTATACCATTGTGAATAAGTTGTGACGGTGATCGTAAGATGTGGCACTGTATTTACGTGACCGAGTCTATATTGTTAACATTTATTTTATTCTTTTCAGTGACGTCGGTAGCCATGTGGTTAGGCTACCGAACTTGTAATCGTGAGGTTACCGGTTGGGGGTTCAAGCCTAAGCTCGGTCTGACGTTGTGTTCTTTACACCAATTTCTCATGGCTCGGTCCTTTCGGAGATGAACGTTTAACTCGGATATCCCGCCTCTTAAATAATCTTATAGTATTGATAGAGGCGTTAAACTCGTACCATTAAAAAAAAAATCACCAGGCCGACCGAATCAAAGAAGTGTAGAGCCAAAGCAACGCACACAAAAGACCCACTTAAAATTGATACTTCTCTTTCGGTGATTCTATACTCAACTCTTGTCGTGCTGCTCTCATTTTCATTGCCCTCCACAACTCACCATCTCAACTAGTCGCTTTTAAGGACAAGCGGGCTAACCCAGATTTCAGAGGTTTGCAGAAATCTTGACCTACACCAAAAGTGGGCATTGCTCTACCTTTAGGAGAAGTTTGGTTTCATTGGTGTGTATATGTGTTGTGTACTTTCCTTGTCTTTTAAAGAAACTGAACAAGGGGCAAAAACTTTACCTTCAATTTTTCAGAACAGCATTTTTCGGGATAGCCTCCTTATGCTTAAAAGCGACCAACTGTGCTGTAGATGAGAAGAAGACAATGCCAACTGCACCAACACGACGTAACTATCTCGTCGCGCTTCTCGTATTTTCACCGTCCACAATTCACCATCAAAACGGCTGGTCAGCTCTTGTCTCGTAGAGCGGCGCAACGAGGGCTCTCGGGGTCCATAGTTTAATGGTATTCGCCTCTCATTCAATAGGTCTCGGGTTCGAAACCTGACAGCGATGGAACATTTTCTTCTATATCAAAATTTCTCTTTTCACCTCCTTCCTTGCT